TTTCTCTGTTATTCAATTCAGCCAGTCATTGAATAGCCTGCGAACAGCAGATGCATTTCCGGTCGTCGGAGGGAGAGAACCGACGACCGGAAATGTGTCTGCTGTTCGCAGGCTACCCATTGAAACAAAAAGTACCCTTTCTTTGGGCTCTTTAGCATCAGTAGGTGACTTCTTAAAGTGCTACTGCAACCACAATTTTTTGTTGCTCTTATTTCCCTCCATTTCATGCTTCAATATATTCACTGAATTTATCATTGCATAAATTGAAATAAATTACATTGATATAAGCTCACTGAAGCTGAAGACCAAAGCCCATTCTGGTTTTAGTAATGCACAACACTTCTTATTCCTAGAGCAATCTGCATGTGCTATGCACAACCTCCACTGTATCAATTCTCAGCTTATTTCAATCCCATCAAAGCAAGTAATCATAGAACACAGTAAAATTAAAAACAAAAGTCAAAATGAATTAACTTAGGACTCATTTTATTGTACTAAGTTACTAAAAGAATAATTCAAATAACCAAGCCTAAAAGTGTTTATTTACAGAAAGGTACAAAACATAATACACATTGTAAGATGTTTTCCCTTGAATCTTTCTCATCTTAGAATGCACATTCAAATTGTGCATTTAAAAGCACACTGCATAATCTGCCTTCAGAGACTTCTACACAACAGCTTTTTTCCCACAACAGAAGAGGTCTCAAATCTGTGGGTAATCTGTTCTACACCAAAGGAGATAAAATAGGGCGCTTTTAAGAAGATGTGACTGTCACACTCTGCATTTAACGGGGCGGTGGCCTCATGCCAGGCGGTGGTCCTATAGAAGAACAGAAAATCATTAATTAAAGTATTACAATGCCCTTTGAATTCCTTGCTTTATTAATGAGCAGAAGTATAAACGTATCTCTTAGAATGATAAATAATGCGTGATGGCATGCTAGACTTGTAAATTTTCATTTTTTTCACCACATTCACTGCCTTCACAAAAGCTAGCTCCAATAAAGGAGTTAGTCTTCTGGAGAGGGACTCATGACTTATCCTTATTTTCTGGTTGAAGAAATCCTTATCTGCTTTGATGGGCTGTGTTTTTATTCACTTTTACCTTTCTTGATGTAACTGTTGAATCAATAAAAAGTCAAGTAGTCTGACACAGCGAGGCTTTCATGAGAAAAGGACAGTGGATGGCGATGCATGTGATGGGCTAAAGCCAAACCTAACTGTTAAATTTATACTTAAAGTTAAACACAAGGCTGATTGGACAGCTAAGGGTTGATAATTTACAAATTTATTGCCCAATATAATTTTTGACTAGACAAAACTAGTCTTTATAGGGGGCTAGAAAAGCTTCGTCACAATTAGATGTTGAATGCCTGGTTCCTGATAATTCACAAAGGTCACATGAGATGTCTACATGAAGGCTCTAATAGTTGTGGATTACACTCATCAATATGGTCCTTCTTGTTCATCAAGAGTATCCGAGAGCCAGTAGCCTTAAATCTTACCTCTTCCCATGAGTCCTGGAGGTGGCATTCTGCCAGGGGGTCCACGGCCCATTCCTGGCGGCATCATGCCTGGGGGTGGCATACCAGGGGGCATACCCCGGCCTGGGGGGCCCATATCTGGGGGACGCATTCCAGGGGGAGGACCTCTCATCGGCATTCCTGGTGGAGGACCTGCAGAAAACAGGTCAAACATACCAAAATAAACCTTCTGTTAAAAGCTAAGGATTTGTTTAGTATGCTAGTGGTTTATATAATCAAATAGTTTTGCCTTAAAATAAGCCTGGAAAGAAAGAAAGAAAGTGTGAATGAAATATCAGAATACTCAAAGGAAAAGGAAGAGAAACTACAAAATAGACATGAAGCTATTTTACAGTTCTCAAACAGGCTTTGCTCAAGCAGCAAAGTTCTTAACTGCACAGCATACATACCTCCTGGTGGCATAAGAGGTGGTCGAGGAGGAGGGGGTCCTCTTGTAGGAGCTCCCATTGCTCCAGGGGGACCAGGCATGCCCCCTGGGCCTGACGGTGGTGGTCCCTGTTGAGGTGGGCCACCTGCAAGGATAGTAGGTAAGAAACACAGGTTAATGCATGAAAATAAACTAATATTTTTTCTTATTTTCTTTCTAACATTATAAAGCAAGACTGAAACAAGCTTCAAACAACACTTCCGAAATACAAGTCATTCCACTACAGAGGCCCTCTTGGGGCTGGTACCCATGTCCCTCGTCTTAATTCCAAAACCTCTCATTTCAAGTACTGAGGAGGAAGTCATGTCCCTGTCAGCATTTTACTATGTTTGGCGCTTGTCTTTGTCTATGTCACTGTTTCAACTCATCATGCCACTTCCAGGCCTTGTCGTCTATCCCAATTTCGCCCTAATACAACCCTCCAAGTTAAAGTTTTTGCTCGGTTACCATTTTGCAACCAACTCTTTTAGTTTAGGGAGACTTTTACAAAATTAATCAAGTTGCCAGCTTCCAAATTTTACGTTCCATGGGGACCAAAATGGTCGTAACTTGAGGGTTGTAACAGGGCTTCCTAAATGAATGTACAAAACTACATACCACCAGGCGCTCCCCTTCCTTGTGGGGTCATCAACTGAGCTGCTGGTCCACCAACACCTCTAACAGGCCCAGCAAGTCCTACAAGATAATACAATATCACTGGTTAACTCATCAATCACCTATGCACATTACAGACCCTTAATAATTAATGGTTTAGGGACCAGTAAACAAAAATCCACAAAGTCTGAAAGTGATTTGTTGAAAACTAAAGAAGATATAGCTCTGCAAAGTCACAGAATTTTACAGACACGCACAGCACTGTATAAGGTGGGGGGAAAGTTCGTGCGTGCCACGGCCATACAAACAACCGTAAAATTTCGTGACTTTGTGGAGCAAAATCTTTGCTCTATTTAGACGTATCGCCATCAGAGTTGATAAGTTACCTCATTTTCAGGCCCTCTTTCCAGCAGTGTCAATGGGTATTCATTACTGCTCTTTATCAAAAGTCAATACATAAATCTTACAATGGCTAGTCGAATGCTAATTACGGGCGACAAGAGGGGACAGCAATCCTAAGCTTCAGGTTGTTATTATGCATGCATTGCATGTATGTAGCCAGCATTCATTTGAACTTCCACTAAGAATGAATGGAATGCACATAACACACATGTGTTCTGATCACGCACGTTTGGACCTTCGATCACTCATCATCTAATCACACATGTTTTGACAGTCTGTCAAGTGAAACATACGCAAAGCAAAGCATTGGAGCAAAAGCGTTTTAACCTTCAATCGTTGTTGCCCGCACACCGTAACCTTTGGTTATTACTAAATAATTAGCTTTATAAAAAGTTCAAGTTTAATGCACTGTCCAAGTCAACTTATTTTAACTTGCATTAAATGTTTTGGCAATAAGGACATATCAAAACATTGTAAACTGAACAACAGGATCCAGAACTTTAGTAAAGTCTGATCATAATACACAGCAAAGAAAATATCTTTAACAACAGACAAATCACATACCTGGAGGTGCAGCAATTGTAGGCGCCAATGGAGCAGGAACTCCACGACCGGCAGCACGACCCATTCCTGTACCTGGAGCAGCATTAGATCCAAGAAGCTTGGATTTGGACTGTAAGACACAAGTCATAATGAGTCAGACCAGTGTCTTTTTCTACTTGTCAAAATAATAACAGAAATAAGGAAAACTTCTGAAGGAATTGCTAGTTTGAGAGCAGCCAAGATTTAGTCAAACCTTTTTTTCGATTGGCTACCTGAGTGGGGAAGATGGGTCCATCTTGTCTGCTTGGGATTTCCCACATAAATAAATAAATTCTTTATGAACCACACTTGTTTGGTCAAGATGGCTGAATATTGGCCTAGTTCTTTTTTGCATTTTTACTGACCTCGACTTAGTCTTGGGCCACAAAAACGCAAGAAAAAAACTTGACTGGTATCCAGCTGTCTTGAACTCATGCTTGGTCAGTAACACATGTGTGTTATAGCATGTCATATTGCGGCCCTTGTATGTTTAATGGCAAAATGTATCATTGCAGCCCTACCGGTAGGGGCTTCATTTACTGGGATTCCACAGTATCTCAAGGCTGCTTTCCATTTAGCCCCAGTTGTTCAAAAGGTGGATAGCACTATCCACCGGATAAATCTCTAACCAGTGGATAGTGCAATAATTATTATTGGTTTCCCTAATACTTATCCACTACTCCGTAGATCGTGATTTATCCGGTGCATAGCACTATCTAACGTTTGAACAACCGGGGCCTGATTGCTGAGTCTCACTGTGATCGTTGAGATTGATACAATGGCTGAACTGATTTCAGCAACTGCAGTGATGATGCAGAAACCAACCTAAAAAGCCAGCTTCAAATAGAGATAGTCATTTTAAAAGCACACAAAATTTCCATAACCCCTCTACACCTAATCTGCAACATCATCTTGCTCAAACGCTATTCATATTTACTGTTTTTTTATGAAGGAACAGGACGCAAGACAACCACTACATGCACAAGAGAGAGCGCAGGGGTCTTTCATAAGCTTATCTCTGGTGTTCAAAACTTGGTAGTGTATACTTTTCTATTCTGACAAGTTGTCAGCGAAGCACAATTGCTTGCTACTACTAAGTGGCAGCTTAGTGTCACAGAGTACTCGTGTGAAAACAGCAAATAATGTTGATAAGTAGGACTTACATCACTGGCAGGAGGCCCTTCAACAGTCAAAGAAACAAGATGTTCTCCTCGCAACAAAACCAAACCAAGAATTCTTTTTTCCTCCCGCTCTGGTGCCTTGCTACTCTTTGGCTTGATCTTTCTAAACTCGTCGCAGTCTCCTAAAATGATATTCATGTGCTTGTCGAAAGCTAAAAAAGTTCCTATAAAACTGCGGCCATCTTGCAATGTGCACCGCATTCTGAAATTGATGTGCTGAAGCATCTTCGAACTCTTTCCCACCGTCTGCAACAAAACGATAAAATTAGTTTAGCAGTTTGAAGGAAGAAATATCAAAGATGAGTCCTCAATTAAACTTACCATTTTGGCGGTCAAGATGTTCGTGGTTCAGGCAGATGAAAAATTAAATGTTGTGCAAAGGTGCAGAAAGCGTCGTCGAACGTTCGACAACGTTTCTTCTTATGTAAGCCGCTGACCAAAGTACGTTCGGCTCAGAATTGTTCATTGCCTAGTCAAAGATGGCGGACGGTGGAGGGGAAGAAAGTCTCGAAGGAGACAGTAAAAACGAAGAAGAAGTCGAACTCGACTTAGCAAAATGTGCAAAGGAATTTGCGCAGTACTGCCAAGTTGATGTTATAAATGAGGTAACGTACCCATCAAAAGTTTCTTTTTGGAAATATGTTCATCAAACAACCGTCGAAAACGAAGGTTGAGGAAGAGTGGTGAATATTTTATTTTAGAAACATGGCGTTTTCTTTATTCTCAGTCTAAAGCAATCGAAGGTACAATAGAAGAAATGCTTGTTCGCCTGGATGAATTTTCACACCTTGCAGACACGGTAAGGAGCAGCGATACTGAGTTATCTTTCAGAGGTTTTTAGACGTTGTTGTTTTGGTTCTAATCGAGATTCTTGGATTAATTTATTCAGGTTAAAGGGCGCATGATCCGTAAAATTATCGCTGGTTTTGTCGAAAAGGAAATGTATCTGTTCATTTTCTTTCAGACTTTTGTGAAATAAAAGATATTTTATTGCTTTTTTAATCAAGTTTACCGAATATTTCGCTGGCTGCTATATCAGTTTAATTTTTATGTAGAAACAGAAATTTCCGTCCCACACTGTTAGTAATTGTAACTGATGGTATTGGATAAGGCAAACTTCAACGTGGGTAACGTCCTTATCGGGGGTTGCGTGACTTTTCTGTGATCTGTTAGTGAGAATTGTCCTGCTGACACCCTAACTTACAACGCATGAGCACGACTTGCAAAAGATCGTGCAATTTTTGGAAACTTTCCCCTTACAGGGAAAGGTATAGTATGTGTAATGGGGTGAAGTAACCAGCCAGTTATTTAGATTGGTAGGGAAGTGAATTTGTGTAGTCAATTAACACCTGAACTGATACCAGAACAAAGGCAAGTGGAGAGGAACAGGGACACTTAAGTCAATGTTCTGACATTTCTCTAAAAAAAAACCTGGTCAAAGGCACACATATAAATATACTATCAGCTTGATCTCATCAATACTTTAATGCCTTGCAATTTTGCCTTATAGAAGTATGTGATACGTGGGAACATAGCAATTTTGTCTGTCTTTACTATGCAGAAAGCACCTAATATGAACACCTTGAGAGATATCTGATATCTGGGACAAAACAAGTCAAGACAAATTGCCTGAAAGGGCCTCTCTAACATTTTACTAACTTGTAAAGGAGAATAAAGCTTTCCCTCCCCACCTCTCCAAAGACCTTGCATTGAGGGGGGAGGGGTATGGATTGTTTTGTTCTCCCAAGCTACCCCATTTAAGGACAATGTCTCAAAATTTTGAGACCAGGGGCGGGGGTTGGGGGGGGAGTTGGAGGTTTAGGGTTTGAAAGTAAAATCCTTGGTATATTATTTAAAATGGTGTAAGAGAGCTGAGTCCATGGGATATATAGTAGACCTAAAAACATTGTCAGGAAATACATTTGTAATTGCTGAATAGTTTTACTGTACTTTCAAAGTGTAAGTGGTTTGTTCATGGCTCAGCTATTATTATGTGTTTGGTTATTGTTGTACCTATTTGTTTTGTGTTCCAAACAGATTCGCAATGACTCCTCCCAGTCCTTGATTGAACTTATGCCTCAACTTCATGCAAGATCTCAGGAATTACCAACAATATTCAGAAGGATCGATCAACTGGAGGTATTTGGTTAAAGAGTGAAATTTACTAGACATACTTTGTACAGTAGATTAAAAGCAGAGTATGCACTTAAATTGCAGTGATGTCCTATATACCCAATAAAAAGATGTAAAATGCTTTATTTTGGTGACAGGCTTTTGTGAATGTTGTCAAGAAAAATGTTGATGAAGTTGAAGAGTGTGTGGTTACTGCAGAAAGAGAGCTTGGGAGCCATACTATTCAAAAAGTGCTGAGTTCCATACCAGGACTGAGACAAGTAAGTGGTGTTGTATATTTTAATAATAATTATCTAAAGGTGAGTGTGGAATAAAGCCCTAGCTGACATCTAATGAGCTGCTAAATTTTCCTTCCCATTTACCCTATATACAAGGTCTCGCTAGGGTTCTTCAATCTTGTCATCCCGACCCAAACTTTTGCTTACAGTCCTGTGATCCTAGTGTTAATTTTCGGCATCACTCATCTTGTGCAAACTGTCAGTCAAATTTCACCCCCAAATTCCAGCATTTCAAGTTAGGCATATCCCAGATCCTGAAAAACCTATTGACTACACATTAAAAAACTCAGCAAGCAAATAGATTTTAACTAGATAATTATTGAAACTGATCTTGCTAAGAAAAAATATTCCTTTTTATG